CTTAAAATTGCTATTTTGGATTCTTTTCCTAGATGAGGTATGTAAAAAAGGAAGAAAAATAGCTTAATTGAGTTTTGATTTTTCTTGATGCTCTAACTATCAAATGTTGGAAATACCAGAGTCAGTTTCTCAGAGTCCCTATTCCCAATCTGTACTTCTCATACAGATGTGATGGATATTCCCCTGCACCCCCCAGCACCAACCACTTCAGCAAGCACTTGCTGGCTGCCTTCTAATTCAGTTCGTTCTGAAGCTGCTGTTTCAAGTGTCTTGAGAAAGTGTCAGAGCCCATGGGTAAAGGGCCTTGTCCCAGAACTGCCCTCCCTTCAGATGCTAGTTGCAAGTGTTAAGTTGTGGCCTGTGCTCTGGACAGTCTGGCTATATAACCTCCAGGTTTCCAGGACCCCTGCCTTGAGTTTGATTAATTTGCTGGGGCTTCTCACAGAACTCAGGGAAACACATTTACCCATTTGTTATAAAGGATATAACAAAGGACACAAATGACCTGCCAGATGGAAGAGATGCCTGGGACCAAATATTGGGAGAAGGGGCAGGGAGCTTCTAGCGTTTCCATCTCAGCAGGCTGCCCAGCAGGAAGCTCTGCGGCAGGAAGCTTTCAAGAAAGCCCCGGAACTCTGTCCTTGTGGCTTTTTATGGAAGCTGCTTTATGTAGTCATGATTGATGACATCAGTGGCTGCAGATTTATCAACTCAACCTCCAGCCCTTTTTCTCCTCCCCAGAGGTTGGGGGATAGAACTGCAAGTTCTTACCTTCTAATCAAGGACTTGGTTCCCCTGGCAACCCAGTCCCCATCCAGAGGCTCTCTAGAAGTCCCCAGCCACCAGCAGTTCATTAGCATCCAAAAGACATGCTTATCACTCCTTAGATCCCAAAGGTTTTAGGATTTTCTGTCTAGAAATGGGGACAAAGACCAAAAATATTTTGTACAATATCACAAAAAGAAATGAAAAATCAACTGTTATCAAATGGTTTTGGACAAAAGCTCTGTGACAGCATTGCATTTGGATCTAAAACTGCTTGATCTCTTTAGCTACACGTTCAGAAAACTAAAGGTCATGTGTTATCATGTAAAGAGGCATCTAGCTGAGTAGACTGTGGCTTAAAGCACTGCTCTTAACCTGTACTTCATGTCATTGCAGATATCCCGGTTCTGGCTAAGGGGTGTGTGTGTTGTTTTATTTTTGATTGTCACATAATCATACAGACTTATGGGAGACAATCTGGTATTTCAGTATGTGTGCATCTTGCATTTTGATCAAATCAGAATGATTAGGATATCCATTACCTTAAACATTTATCATTTCTTTGTGGTGAGAACATTTAACATCTTCTTTTTTAGCTATTCTGAAATGTGTGTGCAATGTGTTGCTGGTAACTGTAGTTTCCCTAGTGTGTTGCAGTTGGACAGAAGGGAGAAGGCCTGGCTGTGTTTTGGTTCTCCTATTGTCTTGCTTACATATTCCTCTTCCCATCTGATGGACTTCGGTGACTGCCACCACATCGCTGAGTTCCCTTCCACAGTGCCACTTTTGTGCATAGGCCACCCCTTTACTAGCTTAAAAGTTCATGCTCTGGCCTATTCTGGCCTGACTTCCTTGGGTGTTTGAGTTTGTAGCTTGAGAGAGAACAAAAAAGGATTTACTGAAAAGTAGGGTTACCCTGAAGTACACAGAGCTTCAGCTGAAGGTTCCCCATTTTCATGGGACCTGGATGACTCTAGAAATTGTCATGTTTTGTGTAGGTAGGGAAAAGAAGGCAGGCTGTGGCGGGGAAATGTTTCAGTGTAAGCTATTTTCTCATTCATGTGATTTCTAAAAATGGAACTTGAATTTCAAGTCGCCAGCCTTTTATGGGTTCTTTTTTTCTTCATATTTTACATAAATAAAATTGATCCCAATTTATGGTAGTTGGTCTTAACAAACTAACTTTTGGGAGGTAAGCAGTATCTTCGACAGAAACTGTGCCTTGAATTTTGGAAGTGGGTCTTTGCTAGCTCGCAGTGTGTGCAGTGCTGTCCTCAGACTTTGGATGGCAGCGTGGATCTGCAGCTTTCTGGTGGCCCTTCCTTCTGCCACGTGCATGAACAACTGTGCTGCTAAGATGTGAAGCTCACACAGTTAGATACAGGAAATGCATTTCTCATTAACAGTATTTTTAACTCATAATGGGCTTACCAAAACATCATCCCTATAGTTAGTTGAGGAGCATCATCTGTGTTAGTACCTAGTTTTGCATTCATAATTTTATATTCTTAGAGAGGACAACTCAAATTGGGTATGCTTCAGACCACACAAAATCTGAATCTGACACAGGCTTTTACTAAATGAGATTGCTGGGTGGGTTTTTTTTTTTAAGTTTACTTTTTCCTTTCATCAACTTGAAAGGCAGACCAACAGAGAGAAGAAGACAAACAACAAGAGATAACACATCTCTGGTTCACTCTCCAAATGCCCACAACAGCGTGCTTGGGCCGGGCCATATCAAAGGCCTAGAATCCCATCCAAGACTCCTACTTGGATGGCAGGGACCCAAAGTCTTGAGCCATCATCCTTTTGCCTTTTAGAAAGTATTAGTAGAAAGCAGGATGGTAAATGGAAGTACTGGAACTCCAACTTGCACTCCGGCTGGCTTATGGGTGTTTCAGCCCATGGTGTAACCCAGTGTGCCACATCTGCCTCTTCTGAGTGTCTTGCCGGTGTGTATTTCTTTTAGATGTACAGAGAGGAGGAGAGACAGAAAGAAAGATCTGTCTGTTGATTAACTCCCCAAGCAGCCGCAATGGCCAGAGCTGCACCTATCTGAAGTCAGGAGCCAGAAACTTCCTCTGGGTCTCCCACATGGGTGGAGGGACCCAAGGCTTTGGGCCATCCTTGACTACTTTCCAGGCCACAAGCAGTGAGCTGGATGGGAAGCAGAGCTGCCTGGATTTGAACTGGCGTCCATATGGGATCCTGGTGCATGAAAGGTGAGGACTTTAGCCACTAAGCTACTGTGCTGGGCCCACCAGTGTGTATTTCTTACACTCTGAAACATAGAGTCAACAAATACTAAATAGAGTCTCTGGAATCCCTAAACCACTTTAAGAACAATACTTCTGATGGATCTTTTGCAAGATGACTGAAACTTCTGGGCAGTCGGTATATTTCAATGTCAGTATTTAGTGAATGCTGTAAAACTGGAATTTAGGGGCTTGCTTTGTAGCACAACAGGTTAAACTGCCATATGTGACACTAACAGCCCATATGAATTCCAGCTGTAGTTCCTCTTGCTCCATCTCTGTTCCAGCCACCTGCTAATACTGCACCTACGAAGGCAGCAAAAGATTGCCTAACTGCCTGGCCCAGCCACCTCACCAGGTGGGAGACCCTGATGGAGTTCCAGGCTCCTGACTTCTGCCTCACCCAGCTCCAGCCTTTGTAACCATTTGGGGAATGAAACAGCAGCTTAAAGATTTCTCTGTGTTTCTCCTGTTTTCCTTTATTCACTTTCAAATAAATAAGTGAGAAAAGGAAAAAAAAAAATCCTGAAACTCACGTATTAAGTGTGGTTTCAGTTCTAGTTGGCATTTCTGGAAAGCATGCTGTGTGTGCTGAAGGTACTGGTCCAGGTTCTTTGTTTCCAGTTACTTTAAATTCAGTAAGAACCCTTTGTAATGAACTGTCTTCACCGTGAATTTTTTTCTTTCAGTTTCTTGGAACCCTAATAGCAGTTCTCTTTCAAGAAACAAAAAATTGGAAGCAACATGATCAATGTTACTAAATGCCAAGGAACAACAGAGAGAAATTGTTAGAACCAGTCTTTTCATGTTTTCTGAAAGGCTTGAAATTTGTCACTCTGCCTGTGTGATGAATTTCAGAGCAGAGGATGTGAAATAAAAAGTATCTTTTTTGGAGAGGGAAAGATGGAGAGAGTAAGAATCTTCCATCTGCAGGCTTACTTTCCAAATGGCTGTAACAGCTAAAGCTGGGCCAGGCCAAAGCCAGGAGTCAGGAATTGCATCCTAGTCTCCCATGTGGATGGCAGGGTCCAAAATACTCGGATTGTCATTCCCTTCTTCCCTGGGTACATTAGCAGGAAGATGGATGGGGACTTAAATGATGCCTGCATGAGCTGCAAGCATTGCAAGCAAGATGTGACTTAACCTCCTGTATCAAAAACAAAAAACATCAACCCTTCATCTAAACTCTATCAAGTTATGATTACATGGAAAATTACATTACACATTATTAGATCTTTAAGAAGTAGAACATGAAATCATATACTCATTTTCACTTCTGTTAGAAGAAAACAATTTTGGGGTCAGTGAGCTAAAGTGCTTCCTGAGATGGCTGGCCTGGGCCAGCCCTAGCCTAGTCGCTGCACCCGTTAGGGAAGTGAACCAGCAGATAGGAGGTTTCCCTGCTCCTCCCTCTCTCTGTAACTCTTTCTAATGAATGAATCAATGAATAAATAAATAAATACACCTTTAAAAGCAAAAAATAAAACACCTGCAAATAGATAAAATGTTAATGGGGCTAGTTGTATTTAAATTTCCTTAGTAATTTTTTTCTAATGTTTCATTTTTATAAAAGAAATTAAGCTTTTAAAAATTATATTAACAGGAAACACTATCTCAAAAAAAAGCCTAAAGGACTAAAGAATTTTCAGAAAAATAAAAAAAAAAAGCTTAGTCAAAATGTTGGCTAGACCCAATCAAGATAGTGGTTGACCCTAAATAGAAGTCCGTTGTGAAATGGGTTTGCCTAAAATGTGAGTGTGTGTGACAGGTACACCGAGAACTTAAGGTTCTAATTCAGAAAAAGTCTACTCCAAGCAGTGATTGTCATTAACTGCCATGTCTATCCCGAGCCCTCAGCACAGGTCCTGGCACCACCTGATGGCTGTTAGTTAAGGTTTGGCATCGATGCACTAGTTTTGTATATGCCACTCTTCACTGAAATTGTATAATGATGTTTTTTTTTGTCATCTTGATTTTTAGGTAGATTGGGGTCAACTGGACTATTTAGTTGTTGATATGCCACCAGGAACTGGAGATGTGCAGTTATCAGTCTCACAGAATATTCCCATTTCAGGTAAATCTTTAAAAGTATAAAACAATTTCTACTTTGATGCATTGATATTGCTATGCAGAGCATTTGTTATGTCTTAAAAAAGAATCATGTATAAATTTTTCATTGAAGGTCAGAAGCATACTTTGAAATTTTCAAAATATTGCCAGCATGAGTGTGTTTACAAAAGCATTAAGACACTGTAAGAGGGTGTTGATGTAAAGCTGTATTCCAGAGAAGAAGCAGCATCTATCAAGTAGAACACGCTGATTCCCTGCTATCCAACACTTACAGCACTGGTCCAAAGCAGGCACTCAGTAAATATTGAATGAATATTGAATAAGGCTAAATATTAGGAAAATTGACTTTTTGGTAAATACAACTAAGGTAGAATTTTTTATGCTGCTAATTATTTTAATGTTACAACTGAAAAAAAATACCACCCAAGCAATTAAAACAGAACAGCTTTCATCAAACTATGACATTTTATTATGGTAGCATATAAGGAACTTTTATGATGTGGACTCTAAACTTTAGTAGTTACTATGTACATTGAATCTGGTTATAAGGATTTTCCTAGGTGCTATTGGAGAAATAGCTTAAATTTTCTTCATATAGGAAAGGTCTTCATAGACCATACATACTACAGAAAATTATGCATGGATTTCAATTTTATATACCAAAAATGAATATATTTGTATTTATTTGGAAGGCAGTTAGAGTCAGACAGAGATCTTCCACCAGCTGGTTCAGTCCTCAAATACCCTTCACACCAGGGTGAAGCCAAGGGAGAAGCCAGGAGCCTGAAACTTTGTGGGTCTCCCACATGAATGCCAGGCAGCTGGGCACTTGATCCATCACCTGGTGCTGGGGAAAAAAATGGCATAAATGTTTTTACAAATTATTTATTTCTGCTTATCAAGTTATATCATCAATATTTAATTGCAAAAAAGTCTAGAATTATGATGTTTTAATAATTATGCATGTTATTAGGAATAACAATGTAGCCTCCATAATATTGATATGCATGTAGTTTAAAATATTTATTTATTTGAAGGTCAGAGTTATGAAGAGGGAAAGACAGATAGAAATATTTTTCATCTACTGCTTCAAGCTACAAATGCTAAATACTGTAGATTGTACAAGAATAAGTGTATCAGCCTTTATACTACACTCATTTCTCAACTCTATTTTTTTGAGAAAAATATATTTACAGAAGTTATACTGAAATACTAATTTTTATGTATGATTCTAGGTTTACCATGTTCTCATCATAAAATCCACTTATAAAAGGTAGAACAAGGTGGAAAGCAGGAAATAGTAGGTAATAAAAAGGGAATAAAATATATAGCTATAAAGTATGGGTAGCTGAAGCCTGGAGCCTGAGATGTGCCACGTAAGAGAGCTAAACAGCGTGATGATGGGGGTGAGAGTAAGAGGACTCTGTTAGCTTGGGGGAATGGAAAGCACTTCATGGAGGTGAGACAAAAAATAAATGGCATGTTGTCAAGCATTCACAATAGCATCATACCTTGTTTTCCTTATTTTTTTCTTAGCACACAAGGTAGAAAACTGAAAATGAAATTGTAAGCCATTTATAATTTCACAATAAAAAATTAACATACTTTTCACTTCCCAAACCCAATCCATATTTTTTAAGAGGGAGGGACCAACGTGGTGCTGTAGCAAGCTGGTCCTCTGCCTGCAGCCCTTGAGTTCCCTGTGGGCACTGGTTTGAGTCCCATCTGCTATACTTCTAATCTGGCTCCAGGCTAATGGCCTGAGAAGGCAGGAGAGGATGGCCCAAGACCTTGTTCCCCTGAACGCACTTGAGAAGCCTGGTGGAAGCTCCTGGTTCCCAGCTTCAAATTGGCCTAGCTCTGGCCCCTAAGGCTGTTGGGGAGCAAACCAGTAGATGGAAAATCTATCTCTCCCTTTCTCTCTATTTCTCTCTCTCTCTCTCTTTCTCTCTCTATGAACTCTGACTTTCAAGTAAAAATAAATAAACCTTAGAAAAGGGGTAGAGAAGGAGAAAGGAGAGGAATTTGATGTGATGGGTAATGCGCTGCTTGGGATACCCACATGTTATAACTTAGTGCCTGGATTCAGGACCCAGATCTGTTTTGAATTCTAGCTTCCTGCTGTACACGCTCTGAAATGCCATAGTAATGTGCTCAGGGGTTGGATGCTTGGTGCTGTAAGAGAGACCCAGGCTGACTTTAGGACCCGTTGCTTCATCTTGGCTCAGCCTCAGCCATTTGAAGCACTCAGGAAGTGAACAGTGGATAGAAATTATTTCTCTTTGTATCCCTCCTTCTAAATACTAACAAATAACAAAAGTTTTATAAAATAAAGTCAGTTACTGAATATGCTTTTGAAGATTCACAAACTTAGTAATTTCTGGACATTATCATTAAAAGTGCTATTTATTATTTTCTTAATTTTCTATAGTGAACATGCATGTTTTTAAAATTAAAATAATAAAAAGTCCTAAGTCTTTTAAAGGATGTTGGTTTTCTCTATGAAGTGGTAGTGTGGTGGGCATCTGTTAACACTAAACTTTCATTCAGTGACAGTCTTCCATAAATCACTTTTACATTTCATTCTCACAAGTGTTGTCCATTTTTCCTTAAATCTCAGAAAGATGGGATGCTTTTCTCAAGATCACACTGTTACAGTAGGGCATAGCCAAGGTTTATATTGATCCTGACTGAGTTTGAAGCTTGTGCTATTTTCCTGTATATCAAGTGGTCTTAATGCAAAAGGCCAACAGTGCTTGCCTCATTGATTATCTGGGCTCCCGTCCCTGTGTCCATTCACACCTATGTAGGTTGAAATAATTCTCTCCTTCTAATCTAGGTGGTCTTTAGTAAAAAGAATTTCTCCATAAATATGTCCATACCTGTGCACCTCTCTGTGATGAACATCCAACCAGTGATCTGTAGGAGTGCTTAATATCCTCAGTGGTTTTTTGAGTCCTGAGAGACTGTTTGTGTTTCTCACATTTGCTGACTTACATGAGTAGGGAAGGATCTGGAGGTGATATAGTAACAGTTTCTTTACCGTTAGTGGTAGGCCCCAAGTGATTCTTTGAAAGACCTTTATTATATTTGAGCTGATTTATGCCAGACTTGAGGGTGTGGCTGGTTTCTAGGCACTCTGCCTCTCTGTGGAACTGTAGCAGTTCTAGCATGTTCACATTGTGGGTTATTCTGTTAAGATTCAAATCAGTGATAATTTAAAAAGCTCTATATCTGGCAGTAAACGTGTGAATTTCATAGGTAGAAGAAAATAGCAAACAATAAAAATCCACCCCGCCCCAAGAGGCTGAAGAGGTACATGTGTTTGAAAGTTTGTAAAATGCTTTTGTTTATAGGCCTAGTTCCTGAGGTTTGGTTTTATTTAGGTCGGTGTCAGTTCATATCTCAGAAGAAGCCAAAATTGAGCCATACTGCCAGGATTTGAAGAGAATAGCAACAGCCTAAGCATTACTGGCCTGGCTGAATCAAGGCTGTCATGCATTGGACATCCACTGGATCTGGATAGCTTTTCAGCATCAGGTCTGCCCATTGAGGCTTAACTAAATTATCCATTCCCTAAGAGTCCAAGTTTCCTTTCATTGATTGTCATTGATTTTAAAACTCTCTTGAGATATTCTGTTCTGCCCATTCTTATGTCCTCTATCCCATGAACCACAGAAGCAGAGACTTCCGTTTGAGGCCTCTTTGATGTGACTTCCCCTTCTTCGCATTCATGAGAACTCCCAGAAGAACCCTGTGTGCAAAGCTACCCTTCCTTCCCTTTGCACGGTATTTGACCCTCACTTAGAATGTCTTTCTTCCCAAATCCACAAGCACCCAAATCCCGTGTTATCTTTTTAAAGCCATCTAGTTGAAATGTCTGTCCCCTACCACCTTCCTCATTCCTCCCGGTGAGAATCATCTGTCTGGAACGCACAGAGCATTTTATGTGAACCACTCCTAACACTTTGGATGTTCTTCGTTCTAATCCTGCATAGCTGTTGTTATCTTCTCTCCCAGGCTGGTTACTCCCTGGGAAGCCAAGCTGTTTCATTCATCTTTGTATTTCTCTGTGTACCATACTCCCTGCCTTCTTGCAACTTCTCAGGAAAAATGTTCAATCAGTGAACAAGCTGTTTCCTATGTGCACCTATATTATCTTCTCAGCTAGCTTGCTTTGATGCAAGAATTTTTTTTTTTTCCTATTCAGTCTAGTAGCTCTTAAAGTACCTTGGGCAAGAAGTAATGCAGTTAATATTGAATGAATAAATGACGGAGCTCCCATTCACTGTGTTTGTGAAAAGATTCATTTCCCCTTAACTTTCTCTTGCTAACTCATTCCTCCGATACACACTTCCATCCCCACTGTTTTCACCCAAGTGTTTCTCTGCATATAAATTAGAAGAAACATTAAAGAAAAAAACCTACCATACATTTTATTTTATTCTCTGGGAGTAGAATGTTTTCATTTGGAGTGTTTATTTATGCTGTGCTTTTTACCATGCAACATAAAATATCCTTGTGGTGAGCTGATGCCTTTTGGTATTCCTTTTGTTTCACTGTTTAATGTATGTGTGGGTACTTATTATTTGGTTACATGCAGGCTTTGTGATAAATTATATGAAATTCTTTGATTACTTGCTATGATGTTAGCAAGGTGCTAACTACTTCTGACTCTGTGTCCTTACCTATGGAACCAAAGACTACACCAAAGACTATTAAAGATCAAATGAGCCAATGAATGGAAAAAGTGCCAAATGAGTGAATGGCATTTCTCAGAAACTACTTGAATATGTTAAAAGAGCTTTGGGGGATGAGGGCAGTGAAATGTAGATTGGAAAGGGGCTTTATATCAACTCTGCATTTCTTCAGACCATGTTGAGAATAAAATTAAATGCTTTAGACTTGGCAAGAGACATTCTTTGGGGGAAATTCATAGAAGCAGACTGGTACAAGCAGAAAGATCCTCTTTCTGAATGCTAATTAGCAACTCTTTGTATGTGT